GATAGTGTGTGCTGTCCCACTCTAATAGTCACATAGCTTTTTTAGAATTGTTTCTCAGCTGAACGATGAGATTTAGGCTGGAAACATACACGGACGATTGTCAAAGCAATTCTTCCAAGCTAACAAGTCTTCTATGAGGAGCGCCGCCTTCATCAACTTGAGAGAGGTGAGATCAGAAGTCAAAAAATCGACTTTAAACTCTAATTATAATTTTTACCACATTTGAATCAATATACAAAAAATCTTACACCATTCAAAAAACTTGAAATTGCGGGAAATCCATGGCGGTCCGAAGGGCGTGGATGCAATTCTAGCCCCTTCAGATTGCTGTCACTAGTGACTTCGAAAAATCATAAATTTTTCTACTATTGTCAAATTTTCACCTATAAAATAAAAGATACTGTATGGTAAGACTCAATTTTGCAATTACCAAAACCATTACTGAACTAAGATTGAAATTTGTAATTAGGCAAAGAAAGAGAGAAGTGTAGATGAAAGACAATGAAGTGGGGGGAGGGGAGAGAAGGGGCGGTCCCCGGCATTTTTTGTCCGAATGAAGGCGAATGACTAGCTCCGCGCCCTGCAAAAAAATTTTTGGGGTCCTTTTTGAGGTTCGTGGTCCCTCGTGGAGTTTATTAGGAAATTTCTATCTGTAATACGCATATGCAAACGCGATAAAAGACTAAAGAAGTTATTTTTTCTTTGTACAATTTGCAAAGAAAACGAGAATTTTTTGTTTTAAGATGACTGGTAGATTCCGTGTTCCACCTGGCAACTACGTAATCGTACCATCAACGTTTGAACCTAATGAAGAAGCCGAATTTATGCTTAGAGTGTACACAAATGGATTCATTGAATCAGAGTAAGTCCATCACATTTTATTATATTTTTTGTTCGAATTTCGATGAGATACTGGATTTTTCAATTTCAGAGAACTCTAAAACAACAACGATATCTATCTGCTAAGTAATGCGCGATCTTCTCTAGTGCTTTTGTGCTCGCCTTTGTTGTGTTCAGTATTACTTCTCTCTACTTTGTGAAGTACTTTGTATAAGGTGAATTGTATATTTGCATGTCT